GCTGAGCTATTGTTCTGCCAATTAGATCACTTGTTTTTCCATGTCCTCATTGCCGTCGAGGTTGCGTAAGGTCCCTAATAAGGACCAGACCTTGGGCAAACCTCTCCCAACTTGATCATCTCAAATCTTTCTGTGGACATAAAAAGGTGACCACTACAAAAGTGACTAACTAGTTGGGGGTTCACTCTCAATGCTAGCAGAGAGCAACCTGTTTTTAATGATAATTTATTTCATAAAACCCTTTAACTCCCAGAAGTAATTGACATGCACCTTCTCCCTACAATATCCAAACATTATCTAGCAAACAGGTATAAATAAGAATACGCAAACTTATCAGATAGAAGTTGTTAACACCAAATTCTTGTCACCAATTTAAGAGCAAATGTGTAACAACTAGAGGGGAGAAGTAACAATCAGATCTTGGGAGTTAATGGATTAAGAGAACTGTTCAATTTTCAGTCACATACCTTCATAATCACTCAGCTTCATCTTTCTTATATTCTACAAAAACAAGAAAAAGTTGATAATTTTATCAATGCAGTCCAACGAGTCAACTAGTCTGATCACATGTGAATGACAATAATTATTGTACATCCAGATTTGTTAAAAAAAAATTTTAAATTACTGGCCTCTAACAAATATTTTGTGTTGCAATGGGAGGCAAGCAAAGCCCTTTGAGTTGATTTTGATATCAACTAGAAGTTGAAACAGGAAGATAAGCTGCTCAACTGTGGTTTGAAAGCTTACAATTTTGAGAATTTTATGTGAGCAACATATTCATCTAATATTTACTATTCATACAAGCACATTCACCTGTACTGGTTAATGTGCTTGCACACATTCTTATTTATAGATAAGTGATGTAATGTATATGGCCAGACAATTGAACAAAATGCAAAATAATATTAACTTACAAGCGTTTGGGTTGAGTTTTAAAGGAAATTAATGTATGAAGGTTATATAAGTTTAGTATCTGATAGCAAATAAACCATCCTGTAATTTAATCAAATTGACTTAAAGAAAAAACTCTTAAAAGTACAGTATTCTTAAGTACATTTTTCTTTTTTTTTTATCAAACTGATCGGTTCTCGTGACTCTTAAAACAAACATGCCAGGTTAGAAACCTACCATTGGAAGCTTCAAGATCTCCAAAGAAAAAGCTCCTTTCACTTTACAGATCATTTCATAGCCTCTGGCTTTCATCGTTTCCACTCTCTCTTGAACTACGCGTGAACAAGCATGGAAAATAACACAAGCTATTAATAGTCAATTTTAAGTCTCAATGGCTGAAACATATTGAAAACAAAACCTCATTAAAATGGCTGAAACATATGCATTCTAATAGCAAAGAGCTATGATGTAATGACATGCGTGTACAATGTGGTTGCAAATTTTGAAAAAAGAAGACATGATATATTAAATGAAATCTTGAGTTTATTTCAGCGATGTTTCTTAGTTATCAGCTGGGCACAAGTTTAAGCTTCAGAAAACATCGTTAACGTTGAGTAAATCACACCATAACGTCACCGGTTTAAAAAATAATCAGTGTGATCACTTTATAAAAGTTTCAGCTTAAAGTATAATTTCAAAGAGAATTATAAGTAAGTTTACCACATGTTCGCGAACGAAACAACAGCTAGCTTTCCAATATCTGTACCTTGCGTGTTTAAATCTTTCAAATAAGTGTCCAATTTTGCTTTGCGTTCGTTGATGCTCATTGAAGAGTCGAGATCGCCCTCTGGAAGCACCGGCCGCATGCGACTTGTTTGATTTTTTCTCGTCCCTCTCCTACGCGGCATCTTCTTTCTTTTTTCAAGCAAATAAGAGAAGCAAATCAAAATGATAAACAACAACTGATAAAAATTCGAAAAAGACGCCCGCGAATCTGTTGAATTTTGAAACTTGCGCCTTTCGAGAGCTGCTAGGTTACAAAGCCACTTCTGAGAGGCTACAAAGCCACTACTGAGAGGCTACCAAGTTACGTCAATTTCGGCCATTTTATTTTACACCTCTTTGTCAGGAAAGAGTTTAAATTCAATTTATTTTCGGTATAGAATGACTTTATTTCATTTTGGAAACTGTGTGGCTTTAGCGTACTTTCCTTATTTTATTGTCTACAAGTGTTCCGGACTGTAAGTTGGCGGAGTTTTGTGTATGATTTGGCGTGTTCATCGAATCGAAGTACCTTATTGTGTTATGGTGTGTCTTCAGATCCTTCAAACGATCAGTTTATACGGTGTACTGTTTCTTATTTTAGGTCAGAGTACAGTGCATTCTGGAGATGTGTGAAGGCAGGGGCTGCATATCTCGTAACACAACTTTGTAAGGTACAAATCAAGTCTACTAGAGTTGAATGATTCAACCTTGCTTTTAATACATTATTATTTGACTAGTACATGTAAGTAGCAGTCAAAATATGGCACTCCTTTACTAAGCTTACCAGTAGCTGTACATCGGTAATCTTCGTTTATAAAAGTGATTTTTTTTTGTTTCAAGAAAATATATTATCTATCGAGAGCGCCCATTACCAACGTGCCACAGTCACGCGACTTAGTTTTGCGTGCATGTGCTTGAACTCGTGAATAGGAAAGTGGAAAATCGAAATATCTCATCTAGATAAAAGTGTTGAAATAACAGGAGATTTTGTATGACATGAAAATCAATTCTTAATTCTTTCAGTCTCAATATTGCTTTAGCAATTCTCCTTACTGTCTGCCAAACAATTCTTATGATTTTAGTTTAGAGAATTTGATATTGGATCAACTAATAATCCCCAAATTGATATCTTTCTTTAGATAAGAGTACCATATAACCCCAGACATTAATTATGCATTCAGACTAGTAGACTTTGTTTTTAAAGTTTTGTCGTGAAAGACAAAGAAGCGGAATGCCTAATTAATGTATGGGGTTATATGGTACTCTTTCCCTTTATTTATTCTTATCCCTTGTCTGCTTGACGTTGTCAGGGCTCAACGCTAACAGTAGCCCACTAGCCACAGACTAGTGGAAATTCAGTTTTGGCGAGTGCTTTTTTATTTTCACTAGCCAGTTTGGCTAGTAAACAGACTGAAATTGTCATAACATCTAAGATGTCACTAGCCACTTGGCTAGTAAGTTGAAAAGTTAGTATCGAGCCCTGGTTGTATTAATATTATAAGGAGAAATTCTACCTTGGTCACTCATGGGGATTAAAGGGTTTACCTATAATTTGGTTTTTCAATTTTCTTTAAAGAAAAAAGTCTCCTTTTTAAACTTTGGGCAGTGTGATTGAGAAAGTTCAGACATGACAGAACAGACTTGCCTTAGTTGTCAGCTCTTTAACACTCAAGCCATTCAGAAAATGTAATTATTATCTGACATGTTAATTGAAGGTGGATTCAGTACAGTTCAATTTGACTGTGGGATTTTAATATTTTTCAATGTAGCAGTGTTTGTTCAGAGATTTTGGGATAAAGCAGAAAGTGTTACTTTTTTAACCTTAATTTATGCCTAAAAACTCTGTGCTTTCATCTTGGGAAAATGTGATCCAGTCTGCTTGATATACTGTGGTACAGCATTCTTTAGTGTGGGGATTTGACCAGCTAGAAAGGAGTAAAGAGATTCAGAAGGGAAAAAAGGTTCAAGACAATTGTACGGTTGTAGATAGCACAGAGACAGGATAAGAATGACGAAATCGAACATTAAATAATTAAGCAAACAAAAAAGGAACAAATCATAGTTTACATTTTTTTATCAGACTTTTTCTGACTAAGACATAACCTGACTGTCATTTTTTTTTTCAGATGTTGGTACTAGCAACTTTCTTTCCCACATCAGATGTTTCTGCAGGTCATATGGACTTCATAGGGGTAGGTCATCATTAACGCCATAGTAGGAAAAATATGCCAGAGGAAAAAGAAAATTATTTTTATATACAAAGTCATGTACTGTAGTAGAGGATTTGCTCAAATGCATCCAAGGTATTAGTTGCAAAACATAAAAGAATTTCACCTAAATAACATTCTATTTTCATGTTACTATGGGTGTATTTCTGACCATATCACTTCATTTAGTCATAACTAATATTCTCTTACAATAAAATTTTTTTACCGAGTGTCGTATAACCAAAACCAGAGTGATAACACTTACTGATTAATCAGAAGAAATGCCACATGTATGTACATGTTAGTGGCAAGAGTTTTTTCTGGGTAAGAGAGTTTACTTAATCTTTAAATAATTTCCCCTTTCAGGAATTTCTTAGATCCACCGTAGACTTTGCAGACCTTGTAGGCCTTCATTTAGTTATGACTAAAGTTGCTGGCAAAGGTGAATTGAAGGTTTTGGTGGCTGGTGTTGGTAAGTTGTGGAATCCTCTGAATTTCTATAAGGCAGTGTCAGCTATTGTTTGGAGAATTAGCATTCTAAGAGATTCAAACGCATGCATGCATGGTGCAATTACAGTATGTGTCTATGTTGTAGTTCAATTTTTTCCTCGGGTTTAATTTTTTCAAACCAGTTCAATTTTATTTAACCAGTAATTTTTGTAAGGCAGTTTTCAATCAACTGTCTGAAAAAGGGTCTTCATTTTTTGGGGTGTGGATTGAAAAATGGGGCTTGGCTTTTTAGGAGGGAATTCTGAAAAAGGAGTAGACGCCAGATAAAGAACAAAATTTCTCCGTTTATCTCTCATCACCGTATTATTCCTTACTCTCTTCTTATCTACTCCCCTAACACTCCTCAGATTTTTTTTTTCAATTTTTTTTATTCCTGACTTTAGACTAGACGCTCTATAATTATTTCAACTCACCTGGACTTGAACCATGCACCAACATTTTCAGAATCTTTTGCCGTCTCTTCGATCCATTAGGCCAGGTTAGATTTTGTTGACAATCTCACCACCTTTTACAGTATTATAATTTATTAGTCTCAGGTTCCCCTCTGCTTGGCCAAATTTATTATTAAAATATTCGTATGCTTACACGTAAGCGCATTTGATGCAAATTTGGACTTAGAAAGAAAAAATGGCAGAGAACTCATGCGTCTCAAAAGAAATTTTTCTTCAAAAATTACATGATTTAAAAGCGGAACAAACCAAAAATGAATCGCTAGTAACTTTAGTAAAATTGTTGTCAATAGACAACAATTTTTTTGACAAGACGAAGAGATATTTAAAGCAGCAAACAGAAACGTCCCTTGGACTAGATTCAGGAGAACAAACCTATTTACAAATGACCAAATGGGAGATGGACACGATCAAGCGAAAGAGCTGGTCCTATGAAAATAATTTGCGACTAACGAAAGACAAAAAGAAAGTAATCGCCAAAGGAGAGCTTCATAAGGTTTTAAGCCTTGCACACAAATGCATAAATCACTGAGGAAGACAGATATCCAGCAAAATGGATCAACAATAACTACAGTGAAGTCAACAGTAAAGTAATCAGCCTGTTTGTTGCTTCATGTCGTTTTCACGCTGAACAAAAATCTATTACCAGTCATATGAAAACGGTAGAAAAACCCCTTCAGTCTCCGCATTTCCTTTCTCTTGTTGAGATCGACCTAATGGATTTCAGAAACTATCCATGCAACTGCACAGAACCTCATACCTGGACGATTAATAACGTAGATCATCATACCAAGAAATATGTTTGTTTCACCACTTGTAAACAAAGCTGCTGATGAAGTGCTGAGAGCCATAAAAACGTACTGTTACACAGATGGTTTCCCAAAAATGATTCTCACTGACAATGGAAAGGAATTTAAAAACAAAAAAATGAAAGCATTCTGCAAGGAAAATTTGCAAGGAATTTTTGTATTGCTTGTTACTTAAGACTCAACAATAAAATTTATGTGTTGCAGAAACATTATTTCAGTACTTTTAAAGGAAAAAGAGCTAGACTTGTTCAAACAGTTCAAGGTTTTCTTGCTTGAATACACTGGTACAATACATTCCCTAACCCTAACCCCAACTCTAACCCTAATCTTAACTCCAACCAGTAAAATGAAAATTTGCTAAAATGTGGACACCTTAAAAACACAACTTTATTTTGTACAGAGTACATTTTACATGTAAAACATCAGATAAATAAGAATGAGCTGTGTGCTTAATAATTTTAAACCAGTTTGAAAATTCTAAACCAGTTTTAAATTAATAAAAATTAAACCAAAGAAAAAATTGAACTACAACATCTACATTCAATTTAAAGACTTTAAAATTCTGTAGTAGATCAAGAGGACAACATATTGCCCATTTGCCATGTTATGCTGTGCATGTTTATGAACCTTCAGAGCACAATATTTACTTGTTTTGCTAGCCTTCAGAGTCTGGCATAGAATTATTCCAGTTGATGATTATAAAGTGTCTTGGAATTATGACATGTAAGTCCATATAGCACTGGTGCTGGAAGTAATGTGCATGTACATGTACCTGCAGTAATGTGGTATGGAGCCATGGTCAAACAACATGAGTCTTTTTTTTTTTTTCAATTCATTTATTTATTATTACTATTGGGATTTTTTTTAGGTTGGGCGACAGCTGAGCTTGTGATGACTCGTCTTGTCCCCCTGTGGGTCGGTGCCAGAGGGGTTGAATTTGACTGGAAATACATACAAATGAGTTTTGATGCTAATGTCAGCTTGGTAAGGGTTGATGCATACAAACATGTAAAGCTATAACTCTGATTTTTTCTTAGCTGATTTCTTAGCTGACAATACACATACGCACTGTACATGTTTTATCGTGAGTCTCTACATATGTGTACATTTATTGCTGCAGCAATCAAATGATGTATCTACTTTTCCATCATTTCAGATCCAAACATGTAAAACTCTGATTTTTTCTTAACTGATTTCTTAGCTGACAGTACACATACACACTGTACATGTTTTATTGTGAGTCTCTACATATGTGTACATTTATTGCTGCAGCAATCAAATGATGTATCTACTTTTCCATCATTTCAGATTCAGCATATATCTACAGCAACTCTTGTTTGGTTATGGAGTAGGACAGATCTGCAGAAATCGTTCCTACCAATAGTTATGGTTTTCATGTCTCTAACATGCTACAGGCCTCTCCTTATTGAGTAAGCATCTGTGTGTACATGTATGAGTGTGTGTTTAATTTAACATAAGGATTAATTTCACACATTTTTTTGTCTCAATCATGATCATTGGTCCATGATTATTGCACATGACAATGTATTCTTTCTTCATTAATGCAGCCTCTAGCTTTCCCTCTTTTGTATATTACTGCATGCATTTATTTGTTTATTTTCTGGAATTTAGTTATTCATTATTTTTAAGTTATTAACTTTCACTTTACCTTGTAAAAGTTATGTCCTTTGGTAAACTGAAAAAGTACACTTTCTCACTGAAGGTGACTTGACATGTACAAGCAAACACTGTAACTTGTTTAAAAACACTTTTCGGAGTCTCTTAAAGATGTAATACAGTTTGTATATCTTGTTTTAAGGCTTGGACCCTAAGATTGTCTAAAATTTAATATCTCCTTACAATATCACCCCTGAGTTACAAATTAAGGTCAAGAGAATGAATAAATGATCACCAACTGAAGAAGCTGGTGACTGTTAAACAACTCCCCTTGCTCACTTCTGACAATGTACAGAGAACAGCATGGTGAGATATTGCTTTTCAAGAGCGATCTAATGAGATTTTATTCAATTGTGGGATTCTAAGGAGAATTGTCTGTTTGTTTTGTATTTCCTTAGTGTTTTGAGCCATGTTTTGGGAATTCAATCCTGGAGCCTGCTGCTGTTAAAAACAACTTTTACCTCCTGCATTGGAATTGTTGCACTTCAGCTGTACCTGACCCTAACTGCTGGGAAACAGATCAGGACTTAAAGAGATACTAATTACTGAAAATAAATAAATATCTACCATGTCGTGAAATAAATACCTGTTCTTCAACCCTGCAAAAATAACCCAATTGTGGAATGGTCTTAAATTTTTGTTTCGCAAGCACAATCAAGTTCTTTGATAAATTCCAGAAAGGCCATAGATTTAAACTTTAATCAGTCGTTCTCCTTTGGCAAAGACATCACTCCTCTTGGTGATCTGTTTGATCTTTTTGTATTATTATTTATTAGTAACAGATGAGAATAAGACCACCTTTAGTTACTTTATACCTCACAGAGGAGTATTTCCATGATTTTAGTTTGAACATGTCTGGCGAACCAAAAACTGTGACAAACTCAAAATGAAATAAAATGTGAATTACTAGAAGTAAATATTTAATGCTATTAAAGCTCTAGAAAATTTCCTTCCAGAAATGTACAGTCACAAGTTTTACTGTCGAGGATTGTAAGGTCGCCAAAAGTTTAGGAGTTTTATTCAGCTTTTTAAACACTTTACACAGTAAGCTCAATATACATCTTCTCCACACTGTTCACTATATATTTCTAATGGCACTGACAAGGAGAATTTGTTTGACAATCAAAGGATTCTTTAGTTGATGATCACTTCCTTATTTCTCATGGATTTTGTGTTTGGTTCAGCAGCAATATTGTGAGGAGAAATTAGATGTTAGTCACTCTTAGGGTTAAAAATATAATTCAGCTTTTACTTGTCCTAAGGTACTCTGTTTAATTAAAGAGTTACTGTGTCTGTTTGTTATTTTTTGTTGAAACACCAAGGTCTGCTTAACACCAAAATGCATCTAATATCAAATTTGTATCAGAACTGTGAATTCGGTTTCTTTAATTAGGTCAATTATAGGTGTGATACTTGGTGTTCTTAAAATATTCTTTTCTTGTTTCTCTTGTGGAAACTGGATATTGCTTATTCCTTTAAAATTGATTCTACCACAGAACTCCATTTTGTTTTTTTTGTTAGTATTAAAGTACTATCATGACTATCCCAGCTCAGGCACATGACATCTTGAATTTTAGTAACTTTTATCCCCTCTTCAGAACTCTTTGGACATCTTCACTGATGTGAAAAAAGGAAACATCTTTACCTTCTTTCTTTCTCAGTCTTTCAACTGTTAAACTTTTGTCTCATGTGGTTGATAACTGAAGAAGCTGTACAGCAGTACATAATCTTTTCACTTTGTCAGGCATTGTAGCACATTTTGTGTGCTAAAGTGGAGATTCATTAGAGCAAAAATGCTCATAGGATTATTCTGACTGTGTTATTGTCATTTTTTTTTTCCAGTTTTTATTTTATTAGTGCCCTCCAAACTGATATTAACAGTAATAAAGTTTATGTTGTTTGGCATATAATTATGTATTGGTCCCTTCTTAGATTCATTTGCATTGTGGGTTAGGCCAAAGTGACTCTGAGTCAGGTCCAAAATATGTTTGTTCCAAGAACATAATATCTTTTGTTTGAATAGCCATCAAAAGATTGTACCAGCTATTTGAAGTTTTGTGGGAGTATCTGAAGAATTCCACAATGGGCCTTTTGATCCAACCATTCTAGCCCATTATGGTGATCTCCAACATTTCTAATTTGCTCTTTATGGATTTAGTCAGATATGTCCTGTTCAAGTGTTCTGCAAAAGTGACAGGCTTTTCTGGTCAATTCAAACTTGGCCTTTGCTGAGGAATATGGCAAAGGATTATATTTGCCTCCTGCAGCCAAGCAAGGTTTATTGCTCACATACATGCAAGGTTTAGCTAAAGTCTTGAGGTTAACCAGTTAGGTGCTGTTGCCAATCATCATGAAAGAGTCAGAAACCTGTCAAAAGAAACTCCTCTGATCGGTTTAACTTCTCAAGCAGTTCAAAAGAGCTACTTGATTTCTTTTTTGCAGGTTTTGTCAGAAAACTTCCTGGACCTTCTTCTTTTATACATTGATTCTAGTTACATGTATAATAGCAAACAATGTATGGCACACACGAATGTGACTGGGTCAGTGGAAGACAAGTCAGTGGCAGCATGACAAACATTTGGGCCCATCCAATGGTGTGTTCCTTTCATTGTTGAATGACTAACGCACAATTCACAAAAATACTAAGCAAAACTATGCATCAGACATTAAGGTCTATATGATAACTGAACTTAGAGATGCACCTGCACTTTGGTTGGTTTTTCCTTGTGATCCACTGGAGATCAGACACATAGATCAAGTCAACACATTTTATGTTTTTATCATTGAAGACAAATACATTCCATGTTGCCATGGATCTGTACAAAATGTGTTAAGAGCATCAGTAACACACTTGGCTACCCCTCATGTGCTCCATTATTTTTTCTTATCACATTTTGATGTCATTTGTGATCAGTTATTGAACAGATGCACAGTGACATGGATTTTGTTTGTTAGATATATAATGGAGTAATTAGAAAGCAAACTTTTGCTCGGATCTTTCCCACAGCTTATTCATACTTATTAACAGAGCAAAATAATCAATTAAATCAACACTATTTGAAACGTCAGTTTAATTTAGAGAATTACAGTGATTGAAAAGAGCCCGGTTTTCTTACAAATAACACACAGAACAAGAGGCACAATCAAATATCTTCCTGTTGCCTTCAGTTCAATACATAATCAAAGTACAGATTCCTGTCTCATGCGCTGGCTTTTTCGAAGTCAAACTTGGGAAACTTCTCCAGATCTCCTTCGCCAAATCGGTTTCGTATCTGATCCATCTCTACCTCCATTTTAGCTTTCTTCTCGGGTGTAAAATCAACCAATTCGTCCCCAGCGGCTGCGCTTTTCTTCTTGTACTCTTGCAACTTCTCCGCGAACAATTTCTGTATGGGATCTGTGTTCTTGTCCGCTTTTGCCATCAAGACAGATGCCATGCCCAGGTTTCTTATGCAGGTGGCCATAAGTGATCCTGTTGTCTGTGGAAGTTGCCTTGAAAAGCGAAAAACCGCCGCCATCGTATGGGTTACAAAGCAGACCTCAATATTTCAATATGGCGAATTTCGTGGAAGAATGGCCTCGTTTTGAAATGAAAGTCATTAGTCCCCAGTCCTTCCGCACGTGTAGGGAACTCGGTCAATATGGCGGACATAGCTCGAGTCGTAAAAGTTGGATCACGTAAGAGTCAGGTATGTTAGGCGACGCTTTAAATTTATTACTGTTGCGCTGAAGTAATTTTAGGAGATCAACTTCTTAGTTTTCGCGTCTTAATTGCGAAAAATCGTTTTGCTCTTCTTTGTACTCAGATATCTGTATGCTCTAAGTCAAACGCTTAGAAATTCTTTCCGGTTCTAGAAGATTTTTAAATTTGGTCAAGACTCGATCGATCTCGTGAGTTTTAAACTAAGAGAAGTTTAAAGCACACATATTGAAATAAAAATATGCCACTTTAGAGTCTAATTAAGTGTTTTGGTTGTAACGTACGATTCGACGATAATGTACTCGCAACAGATTTGGCGCACTCCTGGTTTGGGGGAACTTGTTGAAGGTGGGGGGTGGGTGTGGTGGGCTCTAATTTAAAACAAAAAAAAAAAAAAATCGAAGAACTGATTGTTTGGTGGTCATAAATTTACCTCATAGCATTGCTTTAATGTACTCTCTCAAATATGTTGTTAATGATGTAATTTATTGATTGAGTAGAACAAGGCCAATATCTGGCCATCTTGACATCTTGCTGGGTAATTCACAAGGTAGTTGATACTTTGTAGAAGGTAACCAATTTAGACTTTATTTCATGCCGTTTTCTGTTTTGTTTCGTGAAGTTGGCTCTTATTCAGACTAATGTTATTGTGGAAGAGCTCAAGAAGCTTTCGCCAAACACTTCCTTTGAAATTGGTGAGTTTTTCTGTTTTTTTTTTATTTTTTTTATCTCATCTACTTTTGTTAAGGATTTTTCATCTTTGGTAGAAATCAAGGTGTGATCAGGTTGTAAAGTGTGTTTATGAGGCTGATTCATGTCACTGCTGGAGCTTAGGATAGTTTCTATAGCAACCACAATAATCTTTTTTCTGTTGAATTGTAAGATGCAGGTCAATTTTTAAGGTACCCCTCAGAATTTTCTCGGGGTTCCTAGAGAGGTTATTACAACCCATTCTTACTCCTGGTTATAGAGAGAGGCAAGGTGACGTTTCCCTGGAAAACAGCACAATGGCTCTGGCTTAAACTTGAGTGCCTGTCTTTTCCCCCTGCCCTTAACTCCCAGAAGTGATGAGATAATGAGTAGTCTTGATCTAGCAACAAAGTCTCATGACTTCTTTACTAGGAAATGTGGAGCAGTTAGAGGGGAGAATTAACAATCAAATCTTGGGAGTTAAATGGTTAAGAGTTACTGATTTCACCCTTGGTCCATCCTGCACACCATGTGACCACCTGGTGGTTGCTTTTATTTTTTCTTTTTCCCTCATAGTTTCCATGTCTACCATAGGAGACAACATTTTAGAAAAACCATTACCAAAGGTCAGTGATTGTATCAATATTTTAAGATAATTCTATGTAGTTTGTTATAATTTAGAGTGAGATAACGATACTAATTTTAAATTACAATCCTGTCAGACAACATTCCTTAAACCACCCTTATAATTACTACTGTTTTGCCATGAGTTAAGGACATCTTAAGTGTCTATCTTACCACCACAATTTTTAATCTGATGAATAATCTTATTGTCCCAGCCAAACACCATGACCCTGCTCTTGTTACTTTTATTTAAGAAACGCTCTCTAATTTTAAAATCACTTTATCACAATGAAACAAAAGCCTATATACTTTTTTTGTCCTTAAATATAGATAAAGATAATTAAACATAATTATAGTAATTGATGTAAAACTCTCTAATTTAGTGTTGATATTGCCCACGTGCCTACATATCTTATAATATTGACTGAAATATTTTCCCTTTTTTTTCACCTTAGATTGGTGAAAAAAGTGTCTTTACAAAGGAATTAGAAGTTGCCTTAGCTAATAAAAGGTACGTACATGTAGTGATTCTAATACATAAAGGTAAAGTCACTTACATTACTAATCTCACTTTAAACTGAAACCAGTTGTCACCTGGTGAAGGTTCCTTAGCATTCTTTCTTATAGGCTTCATGTGGTTTTATTTCTGATTGTTCATTTTGATGACTTTGATTTAAGATTTTACAGAAGAATATGTTGTCTTACTGAGAGTTCTTTTTGTTTGTACCTAGTGTGGATTTTGTCGTTCATTCACTGAAGGATCTTCCATCCACTCTTCCACCTGGCATGTTAATTGGGGCTGTCTTCAGGTAATGGTTTGTAACTGTTTAATTCTTAATAGTGACTACTGCATATAATTTCTCTTTGCAACATCAGCCCTGAATCACACATTGAGGTCACAAGAATAAAGGAAATGATCACCAACTAAAGAAGCTACCTTAAGATATAATTTGAATATATCAACTAAGTTGAAATGGTAAATTGGCCACCGTTACGATTATAAAAGCTGACGTTTCGAGCGTTAATAGCCCCTCGTCAGAGCGAAGGGCTATTAACCTTATGGAGCCTTTACCTTATGGAGAACAGTAACAACAACAACAACAACAACAACAATTTTATTCTTTGATCTTTTTACATAAAATAAAAGTGGGATAGTTTGCCCTGCAAATAGCTAGAAAGCTAATCGTGGTGGGGCACCACAATTACCTGAATAGCATAAATCGTCTAGTATCTAAGGACAAGGAGTCATTATTTACACAGTCACACAGTCACAGAGTCACACAGAAAAAGATAAGAAGATATTTGAACTTAGGAGGTGTGTCAATGTACCAACTTTTTTTAATGATCATGGGGATTTGAATGTAGTTATCTTCTTTTTCTAAGATATCAAATAGCAATTTGCAAAGGACTTTTTTGAAAGCTTTCTTTGGAAGATCTGTTATACAGCTTGGTTTCTTATGGTGTGAAGAATATACATGCTGATGTTAAGCTGTAAAGGTTGATTGGTGAAATATGATGTCATTTTTTTTTCAATTTCACAAGGCAAATTTGACATTACAAGATCACTCATGGATTAAGATTTTTTAATTTAATATTTCATTTGTTTTTTGTCAGACGGGACAGCCCCTATGATGTAGTTGTCTTTCATCCTAAACACAAAGGATCCAGTCTTGCTTCTTTACCCAAAGGAAGGTAAGAATTAACTGTGAAGTGTAATTTTGTTCACAAGAATTATAGACAAGTATGATAATCGAAAATGATAATGAATACTTAATTCCAAGAGTGTCCACCGACCCCATTGAAAGAAAACATAGATTATTTATCAAATTAATAATTAAAAAATCTTTTAATCTTGTTCTTTCTTTGTTTGTGAACCTTCTTTTGTTTTTCCATCTTTTGGAACTAATATTTTATGGGGCATCCCTCAAGCGGGCAAAGTCACTTTTTGATGGAGCGAAAACGTCCATAATGAACTGTGACGTCACGTCTTTAAATTTGCTAAGGAATGATGTTATTTTCTTTAATGTTGGTCATGTGCAGTGTTATTTATTTCCCTTGTAGTGTGTTATTTATTTCCCTTGTAGTGTGATTGGAACAAGTTCACTTAGACGCAGTGCACAGCTCAAAAGAGCTTTTCCTCATTTAATTATTGAAGATGTTGTATCCTTTTATAAAATGGTATTTCAAAAGATTTTTGGTTTTCTACGCGCTAGAAAACTTGATTAAGGCGCACGAGTGCTAGGATTGCGGAAGAAAAACTGTGACCCTAACGATTCTATGGTAACAAACCTTAGGCATTGTAGTAGCACTGACTGCTTAGCTCTATATATGAAAGTGCTTTCTATTAACCATCGTACCAAAACCAATGAAATTATGACTAGGAGTCAATGAAAACTCCACGAACAAAGAGCAAATCGCCCAAAGCGGGGGAATAAGTGAGTGTTTAAATCGCTATTGGTCTTTTTTTTTTAGTGTAAGATCTTTTTTATTGGTTTAGAAACGACCTATCACAGATTAAAGTATTAATATTAAAGTAAAGTAGAATCACTGGAATCTCGGACTTAGACTGGTAACCATATGAAATTCAGGTTGGTTTTCAATTTCGACGGATGCGCGTTCGGAGTGGCAATCAGAAGCGTAGAGCGATACTATCCAGTGAATTCAAACTGACCGAATCAGAAGGAAAATATCGATACCGGTTATAACTCCGTCACCTTTGATCCATTGAAAACTGGATTGTCGAAGTCGTGAGCGGAAGACTGCATTGGAAGGATCTGAAAACTGGCATTGTGATTGGTTGGTTCTTCCACTTCCGATTGAAACTGCCACAATCTAGTTTTCACTGGATCATAAGTATCAGAGATGTGAGTGGAATCAGTAAAAATGAAACTGTTCTGATTCTTATGACTTCGATTCCGTCAACCTTATGACTCTGATTCGGAAGCGCTCTTACGACTCCGACGACGATTCCGTCTACGATCCCAACTCTGAGTACGACTCCGACTCGTCGCCAGCGAAAACCAGTATCAAGAAAACTTCAACTTTGATAAAAATATGTTTGGACATAGATAATCGAAAGAGAACTCGTGAATTTCTTTGGTACTGCTCTACCAACTGGGCACTGCACCGGTATCGCAGAGATCATGGCTTCTTTGGTACTTTTGACAAGCGGGTTCAACTTCCTTAACAACTTGTTTTCAATGATCAGCGTGGAAATCTGAACACTAGACTTAACAAGCTTGATGCTGGTGATAAATATGACGCTCTCATCTTGGCAGCTGCTGGAATGGACCGTATGGGTTGGGCGGAACGTATCGAGCAGGTCAGATCCATTCCTGATTTTATTTACTATCCTCGCACAGCAATTTGTTAGTCGTTTTTCGGAAAAGCCTTTGGATGAAAAGGAATGTCTGGTTTTTGTTTGTAGTTTGTCTTTGTAGGGATATTTTCCTGTTTTCGTCACAAGTTTTGTTTTCTTGCGCAGGTTCTTGGTCGTGATGAATGCTTGTATGCTGTAGGACAGGTTAGTTACGAAAGTTTTTACATCAGCATATTCTTGAATTCAGCGTGCCTCGATACGTTTCCAAGCGAGACCAATGACCTGTTAGATCTCTGTCAAGATACTACGTTACGTTATAAGTGTGGAACATTTTAGAGACAATTATTAGTTTCGCAAACGGAAATTTCAATCGCTTAAGTCAATTCTCAGTAGGTCTTTCGTATTGTCTTACAGCCTTTGTTGCAAAGACTAACTACACACAATTAATTTGGGTTTGGGAGCAGTTTTAGCATATTGCGAGGTCTGTTATATGACTGTGTAGTTTGTTCGCCTTAAAAAAATCACTTCCTAAAGTAAGATCAATCGTTACTCATTCAATTCCGCCCTCTAGTCTTGATACTTGATTTCACTTTGAGTTCTAACAGAGCAGTTTTCAATTGTGTGTCGAATGTGATCCAAGATTGCACTGGTTTTGCTTTTTTTTACTTCGTTCTGTGATTGGTCTAGAAAACTCTGGCCACTTTCTCAACCAATCAGATGCAAAACTAAAACCAATCACGATTTGGTCGTGATTGGGTTTAGTTTTGCATCTGATCAGGCGTACCTCAGGGAAAATCAGGCATACCTCAGGGAATAATTTTTAGGGCCCATCTTGTTTATAATGTACGTCAACGATATATCAACTGGAGTTTCTTCCGCTGTGAAATTGTACGCAGACGACACTAAACTCTATTTAAACAATAGAGTGTTTCTGTCGAGGAACTATCGGCTGATAGTTGCCCCGCAGAAATTTGATGTTCTTAAAACAAATATTCTAGTTTTAAGAACATCAAATTTCCAAGGGGCAACTATCAGACCGATAGTTCCGAGACATAAACACTCTATTGTTTTTATTGTTCACCACTAAATTTTCTTCCGCGCCTACAGCTTGTCACAAATGTCAATAATTCGCAACCGTACATTGGCTAAATAATACGTTATACCTGTCAGAATTGAAAAGTCACTGTTTTTCCGATCTGCCTAACTTCGCGGCCGTCAAACTATTCAAAACTTTTCACGGATGAGTACTATCAATCCAGGTATTTTCCGCGGACGGGCACTATCCATCCGGGTATTTTCCGCGGGCGGGCACTATGGGCTGATAGTGTCTCTCCACGGATGAACACTATCGCGTCACGTGATCGATTTAAACCAATAAGAACCGGAGAAAATTTAGTGGTGAACTATAATCACTGATATTCCATCTAAGAAAAAAGAAGCTGAGATGAGATCTAAGAAACAGAGCTAGTTCTATTTACCACACCTTGGGTGAGGAGGCACCAACTCTATTGACTCTATCGTTAGCGTACTAGGACTAAACAGTTTTTAGTTNCTCAGTAATCTCGAATTCCAAGACTTTTTCCAGTTAGCGTCAAATCGAACAAGAAGTAATCATAATTACAAGCTGAGGTTTCAAGCATCCAGTTGTAACTGTTACAAAGATTCATTTTTCGTGAGAATTGTAAAAGAATGGAACGATTTACCCGAGTGGGTTGTAGGAGCGGGAAATCTTGCATGTTTTAAGCGTTCTTTAGGGTGCATTTTTAAATATTTCGTAGTATTAGAATCTTAATATTAGAAAATTTTTAAGATTTTTATTTTGGGAGTTTTTTACATAGGGCCAACCTTCTAAACTCCCTTTTTAAAGCATTCTTTGTACATTTATCTTTGTTTTCAAATGCTTTGAATAAACGTATGTATGTATGTGCGCGTTTTCCCGCGCTTTAAGCAGTTTGGTTGTTTTTACTTTGAGTTCTCATTAGCTCTTAAAGGTGGTTTCCTTTCTTCTGATTGGCTGTTGTGGTCGGTTTGGTTTTGGTTTTGGTTTTGGTTTTCACCTTATTCTGGTTGTTTTTTTGTGACTTAAGATTCTCTACTACAGTCGAACCTCGATTATGAGGACTTTTTCTCTGTTCCCGTTTTTTTCATGATTATTAATGAGCTTTGATCTTCCAAACTTTATGAGTTAAAAAAATTCAGAGATTATGGCTAAATTCAGGAAAAGTGCGTTTAAAACAGCGCATTACCTCCTCCGCTTTCAAAAGATCGAGCACTCGGAGAGTCATCGAAGCAGACTTTTAGAATTTAAAGTGTGTTATCTATATTTCTTTTGTTTACATTGTTGTATCATTAATATTCATATTTTCGATTATCCGGACTCTTGATTATCCGGACTGGATTATCTAAGTCCCAACGGGTCCGGATAATCGAGGTTCGACTGTATCTGGCAATGATCAATTTGCGTTGTTTTTAGGGAGCTCTGGCAGTTGAAGTTAATCTTGACGATAAACAAACCATTGAATTAGTGTCTAAACTGATCGATGGAGACACCAGTATCTGTTGTGCTGCTGAGAGAAACTTCTTGAGGACTTTGGTGAGTTATATGCTCTTACTGACGACGCAGGATTTTGTTTTGGTGTTTTTTTCTAAATCCTCTCTCTCACATAGAGCAAGTCATAGTCATAGTTTGTAAATTCAACATGGTAATTAACAAATGGTAAACACCACAGCGTACACTATTGAGTTATGGATGCACGCGGGAGGTTGCTAAGCACGAAAGAAGCGTAAGAGTCGCTCGAGGCGATAGCCGAGAGCGACTCTAGCTTCTTGAGTGCTTAGCAAACCTCCCAAGTGCATCCATAACTCAATAGTGTACGCTGTGGTGTTTACCATTTGTTTTATAACATAACATTGATACATTGTTGCTAAAGAGTTCCCTTTTATCTAACAAATCTTACGCGACCAGAAAAAAACAAGCGCGCGCGGAAAAATAGTCTTTGCATTTGCTCACGTCAGCAGCGTACACCCATGGGCAAATGGGGGACGCTAAATTGACCAATCAGAGCGGGCGCTTTACTTTGGTTATGTTATAAACTATTTTGGTTTGCTTCTCATGTAGGAGGGAGGATGCAGCGTTCCCATTGGAATAACTTCTAGCTTGGATGGCAATCAGGTGTGGTATTGCAAATCGATTAATTAGTCAGTCCATCAATCAATCAATCAACCAGTCGGTCAGCTAGTTAGACAATCGATCAATCAATCAATCAGTCTATCAATCAATAAGTTAGTCAATCAATCAGTCTGTCAATCAATGGACCCATCAGTCGATCAATTTATCAATAAATCGATCGATCAGTCGATCAATTCATAAATCAATCAATGAATCAGTAGACAGATCCATCCAATTAATTGGTCTCGTTATTAATCATTCGGTCAATCAATCAACCAAACAATTAATTGAACAGTCGATCAAATCGATCAATTCGATCGATCAATCAGTTAATAAACTTTTTTAGTATATACTAAAACAGTGGGTAGCGTTGACGGCGCGCTCTAATTGGCCACTCATAACTACGAATACATCCTTATGGCTTGCGATTTACCTTCGAGCAATGCACGCGGAACTTGCGAATGAAAATATTGTAATCGTTTCAGGAATAAATGAGTTAGAATAATCTTTTTGTGCTATATTACTTCACTGTTTTAGTATATACCAAAAAGAAAAACTATTCATTTCAGTGTCGGTGTTATTTGGTGGTTTCTAACCATCTCCACTTTGGAGAATGGTTGTTAATTTACTCTGTTAAATGAACTGTGTTTAAAATGGCGAATGACGGTCACTAAAATTAAATGAGTAAAGCCCTACTGCTTTTCTCAAGGTTTTTCTCTCATTGGCATAATCCCTCTCCTCCCATTCTCTGTTTGCGATGAAGAAAACTTATCTCTCATTCTGTGATCTTAGTTAACCATAACAGGTGCTGTGTTCAGCTTGGACGGAACGGAATGTCTCATGGAGACCGTAACGGGAACCCTTCCAGACCCTTCAATCCAGGATGGTAGCTGCCCTCATGCCGTACTCACCCAATCGAGTATTTATGTCCCAACGGGAATGCGCGACACCCTTGTGACAGCTGAAAAACTGGGCGAGAAGTTAGCGCGGGCCTTGATCGCCAGAGGTGCCGAAGAAGTACTGCGTAAGGCTAGAGAAGAAAAGGACCTCGCACAACAATGACGAAATGGAGTGCAAATGGACAATTTTTGCTTGAAAATTCGTATCAATGTCAGTGTCTAATGAACTGCGCACCCAACCCCCCCCCACCGAGCCAACATTAACCCCAAGGTGTGCAGTCGCTCCAATACAAACATTTGTCCGAAAACTCTTACATTCGAATGCAGATAAAATCGATTAAAAAGTTTCCTGTGTAATTTTGATAAAATGGAGTTGGATTTTTTTGTGTGTTCCCGGGTTGTATTTTTTGGGGGGCTTTTTTTCTCATTTAATTTCATCATAGAGTCATAAACTTTCCGTCCCATTATATGTTATTATGTTGTCACAGTGAGCATCGATATGCATTTTTTGGTAGATAGGTAATGAGAAAAAAAAATTATGCAAGGATGAGACAACCCCTGTCCTATTTATCTTTGCTCTCTAAGGATTTTCATCCTGAAATGATCTCTCGATTTGTAACAACTCCAAGGTGACAGGATTTTGTCAAAGCTTGAAAATTTGGACCACCGCCAGTGCACTGTGTTAGGCCAAAATAAATGCCATTTCATTATTATTGTTTTCAAACTTATTATTTCTGAGTAAGCCTGATGACACGAACGACCCCAAAAATTGCCATAGTATTATTATTAACCTTCTGGAGATTTTTCCATGGAAAGTGCGCACGAACGATTTTTACTCACGAGTTGCGATGCATTAAAAAAACGAACGTGAGACCACATCGCAACTAATAAAATCGTTCGAGCAGTTTCCAAGATATGATGTTTTTATTTCACGCATAATGAGATTTACTCTGTGAAAATACATCGTTCTTCCAATCAGAAACACGAACGGTATTACTTCATAGAGTAAATCTCGGTTTGTATGAAACAAATTATTATTTCCGAGTTGAAGCATGGCGTTTTTGGCGGAGTAAAGAGAGGGAAAATGATTCTGATTTTACTCACTTTTCCTGTAATGTTTAAATCAGCTATTTTGTATAACTGCAAAACATCTGTTTGCAATTAGTTCACATATTTCAACTGAGCTCTCAAAATTTGAGCTATTAAATTCCAAGAGGCAAACGTTTTTTTTTTTCCCTTGGAATGGTTAACAAGGGCAAAATTCCAACTTCAATGTTATTTTAAACATATAAAATTCCTTATCTTCCATATCCCAGGGGTAACCTGTACGCAAAAATTGCATTTTTGAGCCAAACATTTCAACTGTTTGATTTTTGAGCAGATGTACGCTTAAAGCGTCATTTTTTTTATTTGAGTATTTTGTTAACTACCGGGCAAAACACAGGGCAATGGCAAGATTTGCACACAAGTGACCTCGATTGCTCCATTCAGCAAATTTAGATCAACTACAATGTTGTTTCTTTTCTCTCTACGTTCTTCTGAGTCGATTTAGGAGAAAAGTTTCGGAGCGGAGACGCTTGCGTTCGAATCTTACTCCTCTAGCCATTTTACTTGATCAAACCATGATCCCTTGTCTGACTGCGCCAGTGTAGTTTTCTTATGCTCCACAATACTTTCCGTTGTCTTTCTCTGTTTCTTCCGTTTCCTTGTGCTAGTTCAGGCACAGTCCGATTTTTGTTTCATAGGCTTCATATTCTGCAGATGTTTCGATGATTTTCAAGTTTCCAAAGCGAGTAGAGTGTTTTGAATTATCGATCTACGCCAGCACACGCTCTTGAAATATGACACTTGAGTGTTTTGTCACGCAACAGACATGGGCTGTCAATCACTTTTCGCGCCCAACTTATGGCGGGAAACAGAAAAAGCTCATTTTAGAAGGGTTGAAAAGTACTTTCTGATTTTTTTTTTCTGCCAAAATAAAATTTAGGGACCATTCGTGCCAAAAATCTAAAACAAAAACAAAAAATTCGAGCAATGTACTAAAATTTTCCCTTACCGAGACTTTAAAAATATATTGTAAGCTGAAGATGACCAAATCCAACGCAATCATTTTTGTCATACTATAGATACTTGCCGCTTCAAATTAGTCTCCACAACGATCTTAGTATGTATCATCAGTAATTTAAACCATGAAAAGAAATTATAGTTTCAATACCCATTCATGAGAACGACACAGGATTATGCAAGTCAATCAGGCAAGGCTGCCCAGTTGTACAGAGAAAAAAATGATTAAAAAAAAAAAAAAATTAAACGAGTAACTAAAAATATCTTCTTTTTCTCCTGAAACTCACGCGACAAGGTTCAGGAAATTTGTGTTTCCCATTACCCTGCCTATAAGATAATAAGTTCTGTTAAAGATAATAAGTTCTATAAGATAATAATATTACCCTGCCTATAAGATAATAAGCTCTGTTAAAGATAATAAGTTCTGTTTTCACAATTCACGCAATTAAGAAGACAAATTGGCTGGTACTTAGCACTGCTGTAAATTAACAAGCGGTCAATGCTGAATTGTTCATTGGTTACCATACAGTTTGTTTCAGTCCAGAAAAAAGCCTTTCTTTTCGTGTTCGTCCTATTAACATATCGTTCTTTCCGTGACGATAGCTGTACTTCTTCATTAAGGGATAGCACATCAAAGACTTCACCTGTTTAATTTCAGACGGTTTTGGGAGTGAGTGAAAAAGGTGAGAAAATTTGCTTTTCATCTATTGCTGTATAAGATTTTATGCATAAAATGGAAGTTTTTTTAAAAATTGTCTGAGATATTGAAATGAGCTTATCTTGAATTAAAATTAAACGCATCATCTCTGAAACGAAGCGAGCATTTAATTTTGAATTTTGAGATGCCGCAAAGTTAAAATAAACATAAAAAAGGAAGAAGAAAGACATAAAAGGAAAAGTCGAATGTCTGCATCTGTACAATAAGTAAGAAAGTTTTCTATGTAGACTACATTATACTTTTTTTTATTCATGGTTGTATCATCGGCATATTGGAAACTTTTGATTGTAGGTGGAAAAATATCTTGAAGATCCCCGACGTAGAGATTGAACAACAACGGTCCGAGGATTGAGCATTGGGGGATTCCAAATTCGAAGAGCACGGGTGACGATTTGCTTGTAGATTTTGCGTTGACTATTACTCTACTGTATAAGAAGGAGACAAGGTCTCCTTCTTATAACGTATAGTACCAGTCGACGCAAGACCCACCAAATCGCTCAAATTCGCCATTTAGAGCCACAGAAACGACCATACACAGCAAGTGAGGTAGGTTTACATTTATTTTGAGCTTTAACTCAGACATTTCATGATATAAGTTTACGATAATAAGATTCTTCAATATTCTCCCATACATTCCTTTATATTTCGAAGAAACAACCGGACTCGTCGCTTGTGTGGGCTCCCTGTGTCGCTACTACTACGACTTTACACTTGTTATAAGCACTGAAAGTAGACATTGCATGCCTATCATGTTCGCTCTTCTGTTGGCAGAACTGGGCAAGTCAATAAGTCATGTCTACAGTACTTAGTCGCTACTAGATAAATAGGGTTTATTACTGCGAGGAACGCTTTCGTATGTTTTATGAAACCGCAGTACACATAAATGATTTTCATTATTCAAATTTATTGGCGGGTTTAATACGAACCAACAAAATGACCTGCTCCCAGTTGGCTTGTTAGTTCATTTTGTAGAGCACTGCACCGGTATCATGGGTTCAACTCCCGTACGTGTACGGACCTAAAATTTTTTCAGGCCTTATTTCCACCTACTAGATAAGTAGGGTTTATTATTGCGAAGAACGCTTTCATACATTTTATGAAAGCGCAGTACACATATATTACTTTCATATGTTTACTGAGTCGTCGCCATCATTACGCATTCTAGTGTCTTAGTCAAAAATTGTCTTCGGTTTTTAAATGTCATCCTTTCGCGGGATTTCGCAATATTCGCGGGTTTCATAATTTTCCCGCTGACCAAAATTACTGTTTACTCTTACCCTCGACGAACGCCTTCGATCCTGGGCCTTCGATATAGCGTCACCCAATATCAGTGGCAGCGAATGCAGAAGGATATATATACACAAGTTAGCTAAGTTATCGGTCTTTTCCTTTCTTTTTCTTTATTTTTTTTTTACTTTTTAGTCGGCTTTTTTCCTCCTTTCATTGCCACGGTAATATTTGGAAAATTAACAGTCAAAATTTCGCCACCTCGAAATGTCTTTTCATGGTGGGTCCGTAAAGGGGGATCCGTAGAGGGTCCGTGGACCGGTCCGTACAGGGTTCCGTGGACCAGGTCCGTAGGGGGGCTATGGACTGGGGGTCAGGGTTTTCGGGATACCCCTATAAATGAATGACAAAAAAACTCAGAGTTGTTTCAAAAGGGCCTTCTGACCTTTTGATACCGAGAAACAAATGATTGGAAACATTTGAGACAAGATTTAAGGGTATGAAATATCGTGCAATATCACTGTGTACTGACTGAGAAATGAATTCAACTAGAAAAACGAAAAACTTCGAATGGACTCATTTTAAATTGAAAAGAAAGAACTTGAATGGAGATGGGACGGGATTTTGCTTCCCATCATGCTCAAAATTTTAATAGCCAGCTTTCGAGGTTATGCTCCAGTCAAATTATTGAAACCCCAGCCCCCCGACCCCCGGGGCATAGCGGGGGAGTAACGGGGGTATGGCCGTGGAAAAACGTTATTATAACAAAGTGTTTTCGTGGGGGGACGGGGCCAGTAACGCTTTTGCCGATTTGCCGGGAATTTGGAGCGGGGCTTGTAACGCCATTTTAGTGTCCCCACTAATAAGAACCTAAGTGCATTGGGCGTTTTGTCTGGGCAGTTCAAGGTTTCTGCAGCAAAGGACGCACATACGGTACTTATATATTAAATTTATGTGACAGTCACTTCCGTGTGTATATACAAGATTGGTCAACTATTATGGAAATCAAGTCTCCAAAATATTGTACATACCGGGGCCACGAGGGCGGGGATTGTACCAACATACTTTCCCGATGGGCGGGGTAGTGTACACAAATGTAACACTGTCAACTTGTTACAATCGCCGCTATGTTCCGGGGGTCGGGGGGCCGGGGTTTCAATTGACTGGAGCATTAACTGGACAAAAAGAGTAATAAATTGGATTTGACGTCGTTCAGTTCCTTTTTTTTTTGCGAAAAGTGTAGTTATTTGTCCATGGTCCTCTTATGAGGACAAGGAAAAATCCAGAAGGGAAGGGGTAAAGCTGCAGGAAGCAGCCTTGCATCAAGAATTCAGAAGTAAGAAGAACTTTTGAGGCAAACAACCATAAATCAGATGAATCAGAATTCTTGAAAACACTTTTAATGTTTAAAAACATTTGCCATTGCTAAATGTAACAATTAAACATTGATTCCATTCCCTCCACAAACAAAGTTATTCCTACAGAATTATCAAAGAACAATCTGGAAACTCGATTTTTCTCTTATATTAAAAATTGTTTATTTCATCTTAACAAATACTTTAAGTGAAAATTGTGAAAAAATAAAAGCCATCTGAAGCACCCAGCAAAACCTCAAAAACAAAAGCAAACATTTCAGTATAATAAATTGAAAAGCACTAAAAAATTAACATAGTGGTATTTTGAGCCTCCTGACATGGTCAGTTGACCTGATCCATTCATTGACAATGTATGACAGACATCTGTTTTTTAAACATCAGTTTGAATGCAGAAGAAATACACTAACACTTATTAATGGTACCCTTGATACTCCTTCCCTGTCTTTACCACATTTACATCATCCTATATAATCTTCCAACCCTACTGAATCTCAAAGTCTCCCAGAAAGTTTGCTTATTCTCCACTTAAATTTTTCTAGGGGAATTCAAGTAAATTTTACCAACTCTAAAACATTCAATTTTATTTATCAAAGAACTAATGTTGAGTTAATGTAATTTTTGTTAAATTTTGGATTAAATGCATCCATTTTTGTGACCGCACTTCAAGGGAGGAGACTTAAAGTGAGAGATTGCAAAAACAAAAACAACCACAACTACAACAAATTAAAGTTGGAGGGGTTTTTGTGTTAAAAAAATATTTTGTGGCCAAGAAAGACAAACTGCAATCAGAGCTCGATTGACACTAGCTTTTCAACCTACTAGCCAAGTGGCTAGTGACAACATAGATGTTAAAACAATTTCAGTTTGTTTACTGGCCAAACTGGCCAGTAGAAATCAAAAACCACTAGCCAAAACTGAAATTCTACTAGCCTGTTGCTAGTTGGCTACTGTTAGTGTCGAGCCCTGTGCAATGCTTAACAGTGCTATGTTAGTGAACAAGTAAAAAAACAAGGAGGTTTGGGATGGGTAACATAGTAAAGTCAACCAGACCCAAACCTTCCATGCTTTTTTGCAGTGTTTAATGTTACCCTTTGGTATAATTGCTCTGATGATAATAGAAATGCATGTGCTCTGATTGATTGAGGATTACATCATATCTTGCTAAATCATCTCCCACAAGGTGGTTGTAGGGAGGGTTCTAATTTTCTTTATGCAGGAAGGTCAGGAAGTGATACATTTGATAGAAGAAAAATTAATGCAATTCAGAAGAGCACCAAAGATGCTACTAAGTTTGGTGTAACACTTTTCAAATGAAAAATATGAAGTTTTTGCTGATCTAATTAAATACGTGTCAAAATCTTGTATAAAGTGGCTGCTTATCCCAATACAAGTAATCAAAAACAATTGTCAGTTATAGAATGGTTTCAACACCAAAACAAAGTTACAACAGAATTCAATAGCACCTGAGAAATGAACTAAAAACAGTTATTTGCTTCAGGCTAATTGAATATTATTGAATAACTCCCTTAACTTCATCTCAGGGATTTTTTAACAATTTTCTATGAGCCTAAAGCAAATAACTGTTTTAGTATAATTTCTCAGGTGCTTATGAATTCTGTTGTAAATAAGAGTTATGCAAGTAAGTGTTGTCTTACAGACAGAAGTAACACCTGGAATGGTCTATAACCATTGGGTGCCTGAAGGTTCAGATGCCTAGCTATAAAAATTTTCTGGAAAGCAAAGTTATTCAAGTTGCTCAAAGACAAATGTAAGTCATCTGTGGCTTCAATGTTGTAGCAACCGATGCCTACCATACAGTTCAGTAAATAACAAAGTATGAATGCATGTCAGAAAAACATACTCTAATTGGGCGCAAGAAATTGACCTGGTTTGCTTCCAAACACCTGAAGTTTGAAGGGCACTCTTGTATGTTTTCCTAGAATAGTAGCAAAAATGGATTTCAAAGACTTTAGGACCTATTCTCTGAAGGTGACCAACGTTTTCAGCTAAGTTCTGGGGCAGATCCAGGATTTGGTGAAGGGGGGTTCGGATAAACGTTCGCTGAAGGCGGTAGCTCCTACGGTGGTCCTGGGGCATGTTTCCCCAGAAAATTTTTAATTTTAGGGCCTCTGAAATGCAATTTCCAGTGTTTTCAGGGGAAATTTGAAGTGGTTTAATTGCTCTTAAGTCACCATTTTTGTGCTAACTACAGTAGTTTAAAGGATGGATTTTCTTAACACTGACAATAATCGAGACGGATAAACAATTTAAATTCATTCAAATTAAAAATTCATGATTCCTCAAAAATGGGATCAGCCAGCAACTTTCTCCGGGGTTGCTGTTCTGCAAATTTCTGGACAACAGCATCATAATCTATGGGTTTCTTTTGGGTGAATATTCATGAGCTCCAAGCCAGACAATCTTTCTGTCGTCATGGTGGTGCGCAGGTAAGCCTTTCACGGTCCGAAAAACTGGTGAATTTGTGGTTGCTTTGTCCTCTTCAACACATTAAGTCATGAGTTGATGTTGAGAAATGTTTAAGTACATTTTCTCTTTAAAATACTCCTGGCACAATCTTTGACTCACTGAGAGAACAATCCACAACTCTGATTTCCAAAGAACAGTGTGGTTTTATGCAATGCCGGAATTGGAATGATTGGCAGATTTGGCATAAACTGTCAGTTTTGGCGGGACCTGTAAGCACTAATAAGCAGTAATTTTATAGCTCAAGCGGACCATGAGCGGGCGTACAAGAGGCCACTTTCAACTAGGCACAAAATAATTTGTCTTGTTTTTATTGCTGTTTTTGCGTACAAAGACACAAAGAAATATCCTTTTCAACATATATATTTATTAGCTGAGTTTGTTCACTTTTTTTTTTAACCACACGTTTGTTATACGTTTTTATGTTCAGTTTAGGGGGTTCAACTGAGCCACCCAAACCACCCCCGGCCTAGATCCGCCCCAGAAGTTGTAAACATTTGACGCTTAAAAAAAAGAGGAAACACTGCATTAGTTTAATATTGATCACGTCATAATTGCACCCAAAATAACTTCTTTCCACCATATGCCCATACTTCGATGCAAATATGGGTTATTTTATCAATCACCCAAACTTAATTTAAACATGTTACATTATTAAACCAAGAGAAGTTTGAGACAGCTCCTAACTATACCTTAGGGTAAAAGCTTACTAATTATAAAAGGTCAGGGGGCCCTTTTTGAAATCAGAACTTAATGTATCCATATTTCACTGTGTCAAATGTTAAAAATATTGGTATCTTCATGATTGGGCAACAGAAAGTGTTCCCTCAATGGTTGGTTCCCACACCTTTTCCTTTGGAGTAAAAGGATGACATGGCTCCCAGACAGACTTGGGCAACTGCATGCATACCCCAGATACCTTTGTAAGAAGTGATTTCACTGACTATTTTTCAAAAATTTTTTTGGCAATTTAAGCAAAGATGCTTGCAGACCATAGCAAGCCCCTTTATGTAAAATAGAAATTTTGTTCCATTCACTGGTTTTCACATCAAAACAATGCACTTTTCCGTATATATACTGGTTGTCTGCACCCCCAAACAAATAAATAGTATCTCCTGTACTTACAATACCACTTGCTGCTAGGGGTTTACTAAGACTCGGCACCAAACTCCACTGATTTGTACTTGGATTAAATATTTCACAAGAGGGTTCTAAGGTATCATCCGTTATTTCACAAAATCCTCCAACAACAACTATTTTACTACCAACTGTGGCAGCAACAGCAGACCTACGGGCATTAGCCATACTAGAAATCTCAGTCCATTGGTCAGTTGATGGATTGTAACACTCTGCACTGTTCTGACAATCGTCACCATTGTGACCAGCGATGACATAAATACGTTCTTGTAAAGAAACTGCATTGTGTTGTGCACGAGCAGTTTCCATAAGAGTTCCTTGCCTCCACTCCATAAGAACTGGATTGTATATTTGAACATCTCGCCACGAATCCTCTCCACCAATTACATAGAGTTCTTCATTTAAGCATGTGACTGTACAGGCTGTTCCATACAATTGAGAGTCAAGAGTGCTCCATTCATTTCGTTGTGGGTTAAAACAACACACAGAAGTCGAATCCCTTCCTCCCATTACATACAAAAGTCCACCACATACTGCAGCACCATGATAGGTACGAGGGAAAGGCATAGTCGATAGAGACTCCCAGGTCTTCGTGGCAAGAACGAAACATTCAGTATTGTTTGTACAACCACTTACATTTTCTCCACCGGTGAGCACTACCACGTCTTCATAATCATTCAAAGATAAGCGAGGTTTGAGTGAAATTTCCTCGGAGAGCACCGGAAATAGAAACAAGTCCAACGCATTGTTTATAATCCTAACACAAGCTAGACTTTTGGAAACAAGCTCTTGATCAAGTACTCTTCGTAGACTGGATTTTGACATTGAAAAAAATCTAACAGATTTCAACAATTCTGGAAGGATGCACTCCCTGGATGGCAGATCATGTTTCACCCAGGCCATCACTGCTTTATACACTTCCTCTTCTTCAGTCACGTTTATCTCATCCATGCAAATCAGCTCTTTGACTTTCTTCGAATCCAGTAACGTGAAATCTTCAGATCTAGAGACGTCTAGAAAATTCTCCGTTTGGAATGTAACTGCGGCTTGTTTCAGTTGCTGGCAGTCATACCGAGAAGCGAACGATTCTAGAGCTAAACAATTGGAAACATTTATCATTTTATTCTGGAGGTAAACTGCAGCTTTCTTTTTCAAACTTGGCATTATCAAGTAGTCGGCGACCATCACCAAATCTTTCGCGTTGGAAAAGTCGATAGTTGTTTCACCAGTATAAATATAATGAAGAACGTCGCTAATCGTGGTAGATTTGATCTCCTTTAACTCTACGAGGCTACTTTCTTTCTCTTTCAATTCACTTGTAAACATGGCTCGGAAGTAAGGGCTTGCAGCTGATAGAACACATCTGTGGGCTGGGAAGTCCTGTCCTTGGGCTCGAATCGTTGTATCACAGAGAGTATTCGATTCTCTGAGTTCGTTGAGTTTATAGAGCAACTCTTCTCGAAAGCCTTCGCACACTATTTCGTGCTTTTCGTCTATTTCCGCCTGATCCTTGCTATACGCCATAGTAAATCGACTCAAGAATTTAATCTATGTAAGGAACACAATTTATAGCTGGTCACGTAATCGTCTCATCTCTCCGGGTGGGTATTCTCTGAACTGCTAAGTTTTATTTGTTTGATTTGGGTCTGAAATGTAATCTCCATCAAAATGCAAAGTTATGCTGTTGAGATTTCCTTTCTTTCACAATTTCCTAAATTAAGTAATCCAAGCTGAAATGACGCTAGATCACATAGAATCTATTTGTTTTCCATAATAGAGAATTAAAATTTTTGTCAATGGTAATGCAAAAGATTATAGTCTCTTGCGGTGACATTATCAATGCACCCAGGGCTCGACACTAACGATAGCTAAGAAGCCACAGTAGAAATTCAGTTTTGGCTAGTGGTTGTCAATTTCCACGAGCCAGTTTGGCTAGTAAACAAACTGAAGTTGTTGTTACATCTAGGTTGTCACTAGCTGCTCGGCTATTAAGTTAAAATGTTGGTGTTGAGCCCTGGCACCTATCCTCAAATTAATTGCTCGTCAGTCAAAATGCGTGTACAGTTCAGCTTATTATCTAACCCATAACAGTGAAACTCCCTTGATCTGAGAGAGTAACTAATGTGCGAGCCTACGAGCCGGAGCCGTTTTTTGCGAGCCTCAAGCCTCTTATTGCGAGCCACTGATTGTTCTATATCTTTCCATTCTCTCTCCTCATTTTATTCTAACAGTCTTTGGCTCCTCTTCAGAAAGCATTTGAAGGTGAAAATCTGAAGAAAATATCAAACTAGACTCTCGAGGAGCGTTCACTGGGGCTTCGTAGCGAGCGCTTTACTTGAGAATTCACCACGCGTAAAATTTATTCGAAACTACAAAGCCGTAGCATTCACACAAAACACGAGTACAATTATAATATGCATCACGAGATCTGAATTTTTTTTACCTTTAATGACACTGTAACATCATTATGTTCATGTACATTAGTCATATTGGAAAATATTTTGAGTACATCACAGTCATCAAGAGTATTCATCATGTCTTCCACTAAGCACTCGTAATTCCATGCAAAGAGCAAACCAACTTTCACGATCGCTTGCACAATGGTAATAGTGATTATGTACGAAATATCAAATCGTACCTTTTAAGTATTGAACCCGATAGAAACCAACTACAGAAACAGGTATTTAACGGAAGAGCTAAGCTTAGATATTTAACATCACTATTCATGTTGCTTCTGTCAGTATCCTATCCAATTCGCTGTTGTTAGCGCCACCTTCGAGCGAAGTGTTCGTCTCAGCTTCATAGTTTGTTGTTTATCGGCTGTCACAGTTTTGCCAGTGTTTTCGTAGTTTGAGCGAAAACGCTCGACATCGTTTAGTGTGGGCCTACCACGAACGGTGTGTGCGAACAGTGTGACAGGAATCTTTGCCGTGCAACCCTCCTCAAACACAACATTTCGAATATTGTACTGTTTACAATCAGCGAGCACACGATGTTGAAGACAACTTGTCGCACTCTCATCCTCAGTTTCCGTGGTTTAGACCAGGAACGCCTGGGACCATGACCATAAAAAGGCATTACGTCCAGATTTGGATTTTACTTTCCCGGGGCTCGCAAAAAAATGGCTCCGGCTCGTCAAAAAAAGGCTCGCATTATAGCAACCCCCTTCTTAAAAAATTTAAATTACTTCAAAACGATCCAGAGACAAGCACTATCTTTTCGCAGCCTCCGCTCATTTCATTCAAACGCAACAAAAACATAGGCAATTTTTTTATCAGAAGTTCTTTTCAGACTGATGACCAACCAGGCACTTTAAATGCACTCGTGCACGATGCAAAACGTGTCCTTTCATTCACAACACTGATAAAAACGATCCATTGAGATCACCGATCACTTCACGTGCACCTCCACCAATGTAATCTATTGCATAACTTGCACTTATTGCAAAAAGATAGACATCGGCGAAACAGGCAGAAGACTAGGTGACCGATTCCGAGAACACCTTCCCGACGTGGAAAAGAATGACAAGGACACATCGAAACCAGTCGCTAGACACTTTCATTTACCTAATTATTCTAAGCAACATATGGCATCTGCGGTCTTTCCTTACACTTAGTTAGCACGGAAAGCCGTGAAAACTCTTGAACAAAAGCTCATCTTTTAAACCGGCAATCCCACAGGGATCAACGAACGCTTTTCATTCCACGAATTATTCGTGTTTTTCTCGTTGCCATGTTCCCACCAATAACGTAGCTCCATTTTCTGCCTTTAAAAGCACACACAACCCACAATTCCTCTGTTCGCTCCGACGAAGGGCTAACGCTCGAAACGTCAGCTTTTGTAATCGTTACGGTGGCCAATTTACCATTTCAACTTTGTTGATATATCCAAATTATTTCGTTACCCCCACCGACGCAGCCCCAAACAGTTTCTTTAGAAACTATCAGCCTTTATTCATTTGTAT